CAGGTCAGGCCTTGGCCAGCTGTCAACCTCCCCACACCTCCCTGGAGGCAGGGGGCGCTCATGTCCTTCATTCAGCGCAGGGCCTGGCACCTCACCGCTGCATAAAAGGCCTTTGTCGATGAAGAGTGAGAGTGGGACTCCTGTGTGGACAAGGGGCAAAGTTACAGTCACTGAGCTAAGTTGGTGTGAGTTCACCTCACTTCTGAATCATTTTGCTTTGATGATGTTCTATCATTTTGGTACCCAGACCCATCTCTTCCTTAAGGTGAGGGGCCACAAAGGGGACTTGTTGGCTCTGGAATGGTCTTGGATTACCTTCTCCTTCTGGCTCTGGGAGGGCCGGCGTGGCCTCCCAGGGCCTGAAGATGAGACCCTGGACAGCTCTCCTAGCGCTCTCTCTGCTCCAGGAACGGGCTGCCGGTGCGGGCTGATGGCCACCGTGTCCACCAGTCCCCGGACGGCACGCTGCTGATACACAACCTGCGGGCCAGGGACGAGGGCTCCTACACGTGCAGCGCCTACCGTGGAAGCCAGGCAGTCAGCCGCGTCACTGAGGTGAAGGTGGTCCCACCGGGTAAGGAAGGCCTACCCAGGCATCTGCTCGTTCTCCAGAGCTGGCTGTGTGGTGCAGAACGCGGAAGGTGCAGGCTGTGCAATCCAAGGGACTCTAGTCCAAATCTGCCTCACTCTGCCAGCTATTGGTAGTGTGAGTTAGGGCAAGCTAGTTCCCATGGGGCCTGGAACAGCCCTGGGAGAGCACTGCCAGGGCCTTCCTGTGCTGGTCAGCCTGGATGGTCATGACCACTGTTACATGCCGGCCAGCTTGAGGGTGGACCTGGCCAGCGCTGGTGGTTGAGGTCTGGTAGAAATGTTGTTCGGTGAGTTGGACTGACAGTAGGCTTCCAGTCTTCGAGCTCCTTGAGACAGCGACTGGGACACATGCTCCAGGGCCCAGCCCAGTGCTCAGCATCACCAGGTGCTCCAGTACTCAGTGACCGAGCACATGTGTGCGTGGGGGCATTACCTTGGTGAGAGCACCATACTGCAGGGGCCACGTTTCACTTCTACCGAGCCCAGCAAATAGATCTCTTGTCCACGTCTTCACACTAATGAAATTTACAAGACTTGAGACAAGCCAGGGTACAGATTTATGTGAGAGACACAGCTGTTAGGAGGACCCAGACGGGCATGTTTGTGATTAGCTACAGACATGTCTACATGGGAAGCCAAATCATAATAGAAACTTGGTTGATGCTGAAGTTTGGTGGGGCTCCTGATGACATGTGGTCACCAAGCTGAAGTGGCATGATGTGACCTGCTTCCTGGACAGGACACTTTTGGCCTCAGTCTGGCCTTTTCTCCTGCCCCCTGCTGGATGAGTGTTGCTTTTGTCGGGGTGGGGCGCCTTTGTTTTATTAATTAGGTCACAGATATCTGCTGTCACCCATTTAAGCGTTTTGTAAGCAGCTCACTGCCTGAGGCTGCCTCCCAGTGCTCTATTCATAGTTTGGCGGCATGTTGGAATTGCTGTGTTGGCATCAGGGTGGGGGGGGCCTTGATCTCATCACACTGGTGTAAGGGACATATTTCTCCTCTGAGGACCCCTCAAGCTTTTTGCCTTAAAGTCTGAGGTGAGAAAATATTGTAGGGTTAAGACATAGGGGATCACTTACGTTTTCAAATGAGTGGGAATGAGGCTATTGGGCCAAACATAGTTAGGTGCCAAGATTTTAGCCATGGTCACTGCGTCCCAGGTGCTGTTATTATCCTCATTTCAGATGAGGAACCGGAGGCACAGGGAGCTTAGGTGATGACTTGCCCAGAGTCCCTCAGCCGGAAGTGGGAGAGCCGGGCTGGTGCCAGGCGCGGGCTCAGGGCAGGCGTGCTTCCCCCTGCCCAGCACCTGCCCCTCCCGCCACGACGGGCCCAGGGGCTGCAGGGCCTGAGATAAAGTGGACACCAAAGTTACAATTTTTAAAAATAAGCATAAATGGCTTGCTCTTTATGTAAATGTGGGTAGTTCTTACTCTGATTGTACTGGTTGGTATGGTCTCTTAGTTATGTTTTGGGAGGAAGCAGGGGCGAGGGGAAGGAGTAGGCCTTCCCCAGCCCCATGAGGTCTGACTTTAGGGAGGTGCTGCTCAGGCCCAAGCCGAGTTATAAGCGCCCCTTTCTGAAAGAAAAAGGTTTACTAGACAGGCCACTTCAGTGCTGGGACAAAGCAGCAGAACGCAGCTCTCATAGGGATTTAGAAGATACAGAAGCTCTGAGTCAATTCACAGGGGGAGGCAGCCAGCGCTTTGTCTTCAACATAGCATTAGCACCAGTCCCAGCCTGTCCTCCTGTCCCCTTGCCTGGTACTGCTTTGCTGAGGGAAGTGGAAAAATTGGAAGGATGGGGAACTAAGTGACTGAGACAAGTTGAGGCTATTGAAGGCACAAAACTTTTGAGGCTGGCCGAAACCAGCCGTGAGAGAGACGACAGGCAGCTCTGGCCGACTCAGAGTCGTGCTCAGGGCTGATCCTACCCTCGCTTCCCGATCCAGAGGCCGCGGCTGCTGTCGTTCAGCTCTTCAGGCCTCAACAGTCAGGGTAGGGAGTTAACTTCCAGGGACGTTTAATCGCCCAGTCAGTCACCGCTGGGGTCTGCGATGCACTGTGCGCTGGGCGGGAGCTGCAAAAGAATCATGGGAGGACCGCTGCTTGCTGGCGTGAGGGGGGAGGAGGCTGGAACGCGACCCCTCCTGCAGTTAAAAGGTTACAGGGCAACTGCACTCTTTGGGGAATCTGGTACGTCAAGTGCTGCTTTCCTGTTAGGAAAACGAAATGAAGTGGCAGGTGAGTTTTCAGCATACTCAGAGCTTTCTTACCTCTCTCCCCGGTCACCTTGCAGCGCGGGCCGCCCAGCAGAGGGACCCCAGCAGGGAGTGCGTCGACCAGCCGGAGCTGGCCAACTGTGACCTGATCCTGCAGGCCCAGCTCTGCGGCAACGAGTACTACTCCAGCTTCTGCTGTGCCAGCTGTTCCCGGGTCCAGCCTCACGCTCAGCCCACCTGGCAGCAAGGATGAAGGCTAGCTCCAGCCCCAGTTCAGAAACGCTCACAGAGCTGGGGAGAAGGGAAGACAGGCTCTCGGTCTCCCCTCCCTGGCTGGCAAAGAGAGTTATCCTCTGGAGACACTGGTCTGTGCAAAGCTGCCCCAGCTGTTCAGCCTCAGCAGCGGTCGGCACCTGCCTCTCTGTGGTCCCAGCTGTGTTTGCATCTCTGACAGAACCACAGGTGGCTGCGGAGTTGTCAAGGATCTATTTGAATAAGGACACCCTTTACTTTACAACTTCCCTTTATAATTTGTTATACAAGATCCGTTCACTGTGTTTTAAAGCATGTTACTAGGGTTCTCACTTCACTTAAAGCTGGGTGGGGAGGTGTGTAACGATTTCAGAGTTTATACCTATCTCTTAACAGGAACACTAACTCCTTTTGTGTCAGGGAAGCATTTTTTGCTCGAACTAGATCTCAACTGGGGTCCAAACAATGGCCCATTATTCGAGTCTCTCTCACCCTTCCAGGCAGTCTAGCAACCAGCTTCAAATCCCATCTGTGTGTGCAGTTAACAACGTGACGTTCGTGACAGCTCTCAGCAAAGTGGAATGTAATATAAGGCTCAGTAAAGGGATATGGGATGCATTGGTATCTGAGCATGGAAGAACTAGAGACGCTCCCTCCTTTCAGCGGGAGGTGGCGCCCTCCTCCTGAGGACTGCCTCCCACCTGCATGGAGCTGAATGATGGGCCTGCTCTGCACAGTGGCCAGCGAGGAGGAGCCGCTCTGCCTCAAGCAGGAATCTGTGAAGCAAAGTATTTGCTGCCAGATAAAAACTAGATATTAAAAGCAGCACCAGCAGGGGCTCAGGGGGAGGGAACAAATGGAGGGGAGAGCAATGTGGTAAGAGGGAAGTGGATTCAGAAATGGTTTGAGTTGGAAGTAGTCATTCTCCATCTCTCAGAGCCTCTTCGTTCCTTGCTGCTAAAACAAGAGGCCTGGTTTCAGTGAGCTTCCGAGTTCCTTTTCATTCTGATCTTCTAGAAACCCTCCAGAGGACTGGCTGGGCCTAGTAACAGGGGATTCTGGGACACAGGAAAGACAGGCATTACAGAAGAAGGTGACTTTTATTACCAACACACTGGCTGGGAAAGAGACAAGCTGCATCATGGGTGAGTGACATTTCGTGGTCTGCCTCTCATTCCACAAAACATGGGCCAGGGGCAGAGGTCTTCTTTTCTTTCCATCCCCTTTCATTCCCCATGGCTGGTTTTGCTATAGAAGTTGGAAAGTAGAGGCCACTTTGTTATAGTCCCCCATTCTCTAGTTAAAGTAGTATTTGGCTAATTGATGACACACCTCAGAAGGTAAGTTTGAAGTTAGCTCTTCTTAGAAGTAGGCATAGAATAGTGGGTTGAAGTTAGAGGTGAGAGTAAAAATCTAGACCAGTGGTTTTCAACCCTCTTCCATACTGGGGGCTTTTAAAAAAAACCCGCACCTGGAGCTCTACTCCCCTGAGGTTTTGCTTTAATTGGTCTGGAGTACAGGCCAGGCATGTTGATTTTAAAAGCTCCCAGATGATTCTAACGTGAATCCAAAGTTGAAAAGTCACTGCTCACCCCAGACTCCTCAGAATGTGGATCTTGTTCAAATGCAGATTCTGACAACCTGGTCTGGGGTGGGGCTGAGGGTCTGTCCCTCTAACCACCTGCCAGGTGAAGTCCACCCTGCTGTTCCAGACCACACTTTGAACAGCAAGAATCTGACAGGAGAGATGTGCTTCAGAACAACCAAAGCCTAAAGTATAAATACAAATATGAATTTTAAGAACATACTAGTCCTAGTAAAAGATTCTCTAGCCATCAGACTACTAGCTGCAGCAGCAGTGGGTGGAGAGAGAACACGGCCAAAAAAAACCCCAACTCACCGGCTAATAAAGAAAAGGGGAAAGAACAGCCCTTCATGGCCAAAAGCTTCTACCACGAACATTTATTTTTGTTAAAGCAGATTATAAATTCTCATCAGTACAAATATATATAACTTACATTTGATTGTAAGGCCAACGTTCAAAAGTAAAAATGAGATGCGATCTCATGTTGTTACGAGAGGTCAAGTGGCTGCAGCTGGCAATGGGATGTTCTGCTCACCACGGAGAGGGACGAACAGGAACACACAGCGCTAATAAAACCAGAATCTCCATCCCCACGAAACTCGTGGGAACAAAACTTAAGGACAAAACAAAACCCAAGACCTACATGACAAACCAACACGGTAATAACCTGCATTCCCGTCTACAGATGTGATTATGTCACTGTCACCTTAGTGTTAAAGGATTAACATAAGGAAACTGTAGCAATATATAAAAGAAAATATTCTCTACAGAGCATATTTAGATTGAGTCCATTAAAATAATGACATTAGAATTTCATTATAGGTTTAAAACCAGGACAATACTGCTCGCTCTTTATTTAAAACTACAACCTAGTGACTGTTGGTCATAAGCATGATTGTTGTTGCAATGTGCTACTTACAGTGAATGATACCAAGTAAGCTAGGGATCCCGCCTGCAACTTCCAGCCCCTCCTCTTTTTACTTCAATAGGCATCAATGATAAATCAATCTTATGTACAATTTCTTACAGCTAGCCTTTTTACCTTTGGCAAGATTACTTACAACTCATACAACTTTTTAATGTTGAGAACTATTTAAAATATTCTAAATGCATAAAAATAAAGATTTTGGCTTTTTTTGATATATATTTATAATATTTATTCTTACTTAAAATGGAAGCTCAGCTTTACCCCTAAAATATAGCTCTGCTGGGCAGCTACTGGGGTGCCCTCCTGGGAATTCTGGCAGCACGGCCTGCTCCTCATCCCCAGCCCAAGCACAGGCCACCCTGTCCTTGAGCTGTAAGATGGGCCAGCACTGAGAGAGGAGGCAGGTGAATGGCCTGAAAAACAATGGGAGATCATTTTGCTTCCCACTGTGTTTTATATTCTAGTAAATGTGCTTTGAATACAGACTCCTGTTCAGATATTCTGCCTCTCTGTTGCCAGAGGTTTGTAAGGGGCTGAGGGAGGAGGAGGGGGACAGGGGATGACATTTCCTTGACTTCTTTTGTCTGACTGCAGGACAGTGCTTCTCTAGGAATGGTTTTCTTCACTTTTTCAATCACCCCTTCTCAGCGCTCTATGCCTGGACATGCTCCTTGGGACCTTTGGGATTAGTGAAAAGCGTACTGGTTGGGAACACAACCCTTTGCTCCTTTGACCTCCACCCCTCGCCCTGGCCTAAACCAGACAAAATACATAAGCCATATGGACTGCTTAAAGTTCAATTTCAAAAGTCTTCTGCAAGTCACTGGAGAAGGGGTTGGTGGGGGAGGGGTTGGTACGCTGCTTGGACTTGCTCTCTAACGCAGCCCACTGGGCTTCGAAAGGATCCACCGGGCAGCTGCATGCAGGAGCCTCGGTGTGCCTGTCTCCCGAGGCCAACCTGCCATCATCTACGCCATTGAAAGCCGCAGAACCGTTGAGGTGCTGAGCAGGAGGCTTAAAGAAGGGACTGGCAGTAGCACTGCTTGTCTCATACTGAGGGAATGTCTGCTGCTTGACCAGGCCGGGAGATGGATGCGGCTGGGCAGCCTGTGGGTGGCCTGCAGTGCCAAACACGTTGGCGACCATCTGGGAGGGAGTGATGCCCACCACAGGCACATTAGGGGCTGGATAGGGCATCCCGTTAGCCACAGGATAGGACTGGGCAGGGACAAAGGCTGGCTGCAGGGGTGGGACCACACCCACTGGCACGGGCTGAGAGGGGAGGAATGCATTTCCTTGGAAAGGTGGCACCGGCTGGGAGATGGCAGTGGGTGGAGGAGGCTGGAGAACTGGCTGCAGCGGGGCAGGTGAGGCCTGGGGCTGCTGAGCCCGGACACTCTTGGACACCTCTTCCAACCAGCGGTCGGCCTCAGAGGGAGTGCGTCTATGACCAGCCTGGAAGAGACCTGGAGAAACAGCACCAGAAGATTGACCCCACTCGGTCCCTAGAAACAAGAGGAAGAGAGAAAAAAGAATCAGAGTCTTTAGTGGCTTCTTTCTTCACTTGATAGCCTTGGTTATTCGAATGATCCTAACATGTGGAATGAGCCCCCACTGGGATATGCTGTGGCTTTGGGAGGTGGGAGGAATGTCTCTCGTCCCTACTCTAGTCAAAGCTGAGATCAGGGGGAGGACAGGGAGAACCCGTGAGACCATGTGGCACATCTCAGCCACGCTGAGGAGCTGTCTAGATACACTCAACCTCATCATACCAAGGTGACCGGCTGGCGTCAGAAACCACCCCCCGAACCCCCATTGCTGCGGCTCATCCATGGTCTAGAAACCAGCTTGCACTTACTCTAAATGGCCCAAGGGGTTCACCTTCTGCACTAACAGAATGAAAAGAAAATAACCAGTGACTTGATGCCGTACCTTGTGGCCCCTGTATGGTTTCCAGACAGATGTCTTTCTGGTGAACTGCCTTTTTTGCTACTTAGAAAGGTTTTTTGTTAATAAATGTTCATTATAAAAGAACTAGAAAGTACAGAAAGGCAAATATGACTTTTTCTTTTTTGTAGCCCTGCCACTGTAGGAGGCAGGGTCCTCTTTTCCTACAGGCACGTCCACGGATCCAAATCCAGTGATACTCTCGAGGGAGGACCCAGGAGTTTGCATGGTATGAATGCTCTATGGTTGGTTCTGCAGACCTAAGAACTATCAGTCTCACCTCTTTAGTTCCTCTCCTTCACCATCCTGTTTTAAGGTTTATTTCCAGTGAGGTTTTTTGGAACAAGGTTTATTTCCAACAGGGAACATACTTTTCCTAGAAGGACTCCTCCCTGGTTCCCACTCTGGTAAATGGCTGATTTTCAAACCAGGGTCACTTATCTGATCCCAGAATCCTCACCACCTTCTGTGGCCACCTTACCCGAACGTGTGGCTGCAATTCCCTTGTTAGCAGCATCAGGGGCATAGGCCCAAGGGTTGGTTTCACGCACAGGCATTGCTACGGGTGCTAGAGCAGTATGGGCTGGCTTAGCAGCAAGCACATGGAAGGCTGAGTCAGTGCCATTAGCTACAATGGGAGCAGACAACATCAATGGGGTTAATTCATGCAGGGTGTACGGGCGATCCCTTGGAGCTGGGTCAGTCAGGCCAATGTGCAATACTGGTAGGAGAGATAAGACATAGAAGCTGGCTCTGAGATAACCATGCCATCTGCAGTGGATACACCTTTTGGCAAAGAGGGAATTAGAGATTGTAATTAAAATGGCTGTAGTGATACAGTTAAATGACTCTTCTAGGAAAATGCGTATCAGCAGAGAGGAAATGAAGACTAGAAAAACAATTTCAAATGAAGTTGAACAGAGCTGCTTTGTTTTACAAGCTAACTATTATGGATATAGCTTAGCCTTTGGCATGATGGTGGAGATAAAATATCTTCTTTTCCTACCATTGTTATTATTATGCCAATAATAACAATGATGGTTAAGTCAAATACAGTCATTCCTTATTACATGCTAGGTACTATGCTGACAGTAATTTAGTGTGTGCCATCTCATTTAACTCTCTCAAAAACCCTGTAAGGCTGGTATTATCCCCATATTACAGATGAGAAATCAAACTTGGTATATGTTTTAATTTGCTTAATAATTTTCTAATTTGCTACAGAATTAATTTCATCTCTCGTTTTTAGTGATTTTTTCGCTTCAGTAATGTTCATAATATCTCAGTGTGTCTACTACTTTTTCCTGTCTCCCTTTATTAAAATCTCCTAATTCTTGCTCCTTTACTCCAGACATCCATCGCACCAGTTTCTACTCCTTAGGCTCAGCTCTCTGTATTCAGTATGGAGCAGGTGAGCAGGCACCTTCCCCTGCCCTATACTATAATCATTCCATCTTTAGGGCTGGGCAACCATGCTTACTGCATTGCTGCTACTCACCCAGGGCTTGTCTAAAAGTCTAGCTCACCCACAGACTGAGAGTCCCTTAAAGGCAGGGAAAGGACTATATCCTACTCAGTTTTGTACACCCATTTCCCTGTAAATAGGCACCGAGTCAGTAGAGTATAACAAGAACTACATTTAGAAAAGTTTAAATCCTGGCTGTGCAATTTGGACAATTTACTTAACCTCTCTGAGCCCCATTTTTCATTTTCCTCATCTGTGATGCCTACCTCAAAGGGTTGCTGTGGGGATTAAATGAGATGAGAAGATGCATGACTCTTTAGCGTGGTGTATGTGGGCAGACACTGTGCTAAGTGCCCAATAAACTGTGCCTATGACTATTGGTATTATAAATACTTGTCAGATAAAATGAAAAGCCACTTGGTGCACATGATTATTAAGGATTTTTTTTTTTTATTAAGAGACTCCCTCCTGGAGGAAAAGCATTTTGTAGCTTCCTCCAACAGGAGCAGGGTTCTGTCTCCACAGCAAAACTTTTTCTGAGCTCTTTCTAGAAAGAAATGAAGAAACAACAATTATAGGAGCTCAAATTCTAAAAGTCTATAATTTAAGTTATACAGACTCTTTGCTGACCTTTGAGCCAATACCAACCATTAATTCAGTACCTCTGAAAACAACAACTTTTAGTAACTCTTCAATGCCACAAAGGCTAATTCTAGGACACTTGTAATAGAAGATGAAATGAGTCAAAGGGCCAATAGAAGTGCCTTTTTCTTTATGAGCCTCTTGTGACAGAGTGTAGAGACTTGAGTGAGTACAGGGCTTCTCAATCTTGGCACCACTGATATTTTGGGCCAGAGTTCTTTGTTGTGAGGGTGGCTACTGTGTACGCTGAAAGATGTTTAGTGGCATCCCTGGCCTCCACCCAGATGTCAGGAGTAATCACCCCCTACCGAACTGCAAAACC